ATAGTGGTTACTTCAGGATGGTAGGCAGAGGGGATGGGATTGGGAGGAGCACATAGACATAGGAGAGGTATTTAATAAAATTCTAGTTTTTGTGTTGAGCAGGGAAGTTAATATAATGAATGTCAAACAAAACAAAATAAAACAAGAGTGTCAAGAGGATAGTGTATGATGAATCTAAAATTACGATTAATATGTTATTGTACAAAGTCCAAATATGCAAAATAATTCACTGGCGACTAGATTAATGGGAGCTGGGGGCTTTTGACAGATGCCTTTGAGTTCAAGATCAAACCGAAGTTGCTGGGATCCGGGGATCCAGAAGTTGTTGCCTTCATGCCACCATCACCACAATTGTCTCTCCACCCACATGAGGCTGGTGGCAATACACTGGATACTCGGTCTAGCCACAAGTGCATCTGGAAATTCACACTTAAGGGTCTTGAGTATCAGCAGGAAATTAGTTCATGCTTTGTTTTTACTTTGCACATCTCACGCTATTGAACTTAATTGGTGGTTCCAAATTTGCACCAATAACATAGTTGGAAGGGAGTCTGGAAAATGTAGTTCGTAGCTTTCCAGGCTCTGAAGCACTGGTAGGCACAGCGAAGGAGGTGGGAATGGGTGTTGAGTGCTGACTGACTAGATCCAGCATAGTCGTGATGTAGCATTCTTTAAATACACTGTCACATTTGATCTAAACATCTCTATCCCTAAGTGAGAGGGCCCATAGTTTTCTTTCTGGTGCTATCCTAGTTTGGAATCAGTTTATGCTAGCGTCAAAGAGACAGTCAAAATGCTTTTCTTTTTCTATTCTCTGAAGTTTGGTAAAATTTACCTGTAATGTAGATATATGTTTGTTACAAGTTTGGTTAAATTTACCGGTAAAATTCTCTGGGCTTGCTCCCTATTTAAGACTACTTCTTTGACCGCCTTTTCCTTTTCTTCTATGATATTGAGACTTAGGATTTTAAACTCTTCTTAGTCAATTTTAGTATTTTTTAGGAAATCATCTGTTTCATATTAATTTTTATTTGTTGGTTTAAATTGTGTATAGTATAGGTGCATAATTTTAACCTGTCCTTGCATCTCAGAGTGTGTAGTGCTTCTACGCTTATTTTTCTAGCTTCTTAAAATAAATGAATATAAGAGAGCCCATTGATGTTCAATATTTTTTAACAAAACATTAAGGCTATATGTTTACTTTGGGTATAATTTTGGCTAAACCCAATAGGTTTTAAAAATTAATGATCTGATCATTTTTCATTTCTACATAGTGGTAGTTGTGGGGATGATTTCCTTCTTAATCCGGGAGTTATTTAGCATAGTATTTCAAAATTCGCATGAGAATTTATAATTTTTGGCTATTATCTTAAAAATTTCTTATTACATTTTGTTTAAAGAATGTGACACATGCATTCTATAATACTTTTAAGAGTTTATTATATTTTCTTTGTGGTCTTGAATTAGTCCAGACAAAAAAGCTAAACTATGTTAGAAAATTGGTGAGATAATGTTTTAGGCTTATTTAAAGCTGCTTTCATTTTGGTTTATTATATAATAAGAAAACCAATAGTGCAATGAATAAAGCTCCTCCTCATTGGAGAGTGTTCATATGGATATTGAATATACTCACATTCTGAGTCTATTCTGAGAGGCATGTCCTCATACCTCTTTCCCAAATTTCCTTGATATTATTTCTCCAGCCTTGTTCCTTCCAAGTTCCTGACTATGCAGCCAAGCTGTCTGGCACTGATTGTAAATTAATGACATCCTTACCTCAAGCCATCTTTTCTTCTAGGCAGAGTGAACCATCAATGTGTGATTTGAAGTTACTCCCAGGGGGAGTATCTCCATTTTCCACAGACCTTCAGGGCTACTTCTGAGTAGAGCTACAACCCTCAGCAGTCTACCTCTAGCAGGTGCCAAATAATGAGCATAGCTGTCTGTAAAGAAAGCTCATTTTTTTCCCTGCTGAGACAACTAGTCACAGGAAACTCCCCAGAATGTGATAAGTGGGCATTTGGAAAGAGGTGGCATTTTGTCAGGAATAAGCACACTAGGATTGTGAGTCATTGTCTCATGAAAGCAGTTCATGTGCAATCTCATTAAAATGCTCCAATAATTGCCTTGATAGATCAGCTGATGCAGTTTATGGTGGTCTTTCATGGTCAGGTATTCTGTTTCCACTAGGGCCCAATATTAGGCCAAGGGCTATTTTTTAAAAAGAAACTAGTTACTTGTCAAAGAGGGCATGACCTTCCTTCAAACCAAAGGGTCTACAGATGCAATTCTTTTAAAGA